GAATCCTCCCTGAGTTGGCTTCAAACTGTGATCCTCACATCTCAGCCTCCTGAGTAGCTAGTGAACTCTTAGCACCTCGTTTTTAAAGGTATAGCTCAGTCAGGCTGGTCTTGAACTTGGGATCTTCCTGCTTTAGCCTCTTTGTTGATTACTGACAATAGAGGCGTTTAAAATCCACACTCCAAGAATGCCCAGAATTTGCTACCCATGGGATCCCAGAACATGGTAAGTTCTTGCCTTCAGTGTTAGTTTCCTCAAAGTTAAACACACTGTGTATTCTAACCCCTCCTTTGGGAAAAGGGAGAGAGAATGACTACTAAAATATCCTTCTAGCTAACCTGCCACAGTTAATAATTCACAGCCCTCCAGGGGTCCTTGGGGCTCCTCTATCCCGAGGCTTTATTGCTGTAAAAACTAGAAAGTTCTGATCAGCACTTGATGAGCTCTAAATGGCTCTGGCCCTCTGCCCTGTCTATCTCCCACACGCTCGTAAAACATTTATCCCAGCATTTCATCTGCACCTTGGCTTAATAAATTCCTTTAAAGGTATGCAGACTTCACAGGCTGCTTCTGCGAGTGCTGCTGAGGCCAGAAATCAGGAGGAGAAAAGGGAGGCCACCGTCAAACAGACTCAGGCCAGGGACAGGGACAGGGAAAGCCACTGGGGCTGAAAACGCCAGACACAGAGTCAGTTAATGAGCTACAAGAAAGGCAAGGTAAGATTAGGACAGAGGAATGCTGAAGCTGCAGTTAAAAATGGAGACCGTGGTGGAGAAAACACTGATTGAAGAAGCAAAAAAGCACAGGGATTTCACTGTAATTCTGCCATGAACTTGAGGTCCTTAACCAAGTTATCTGGTTGGGTCTTCATTTCATACTCAAGAAAGTGAGGTGGTAGGAAGGTACCAGTGGCTCACGCTAGTAATCCTAGCTACTCACTGGGTAGGAGGCTGAGATGTGAGGATCTCAGTGTGAAGCCAGCCTGGGTAGGAAAGTCTGTGAGACTTAGTTCCAATTAACCAGCCAAAAGGTTCGAAGTGGAGCTGTGGCTCAAGTAGTAGAGTGCTAGCCTTGGGCAAAAAAGTGAAGGAACAATGTCCCAGGCCCTGAGTTCAAGCCCCAGTTCTGGCACAAAAAAATAAAATTAAGTAAAGGAACAAAGGAAGTGTTTACAAGGATGTGAGGAAGTTGGAAACATGATCTGTGGCTCATGGAATAGTGAGATAGTGCAGCCATTGTGGGGGAAAAAAACATGGCGCTCTTTAACAAACACACAATTCAGCAATACCACTTCTGGGCAGATGCCCAAAATAATTGAAAGCAGAGACTGGAATAGATATGTGTGTATAGCTATGCTATGTTCTTATAATCATTATTCATTCTAGCTATTCTCTGTGTGTGTGTGTGTGTGTGTGTGTATGTCCCCGTCCATGTGCCCGTGTGCCCTGGTGCCCATGTGCCAGTACTGGGGGTTGAAACTTTCACTCTCATTCTCATTTGGCTTTTCCATTCAAGGCTGGCATTCTACCACTGGAACCAAACCTCTCTGGCTTTTTGATTGTTAATTAGCCATAAAAGTCTCATAGACTTTTCTTCCGAGGCTGGCTTTGAATTGCGATCCTCATATATTAACATCCTGAGTAGGTAGGATTACAGGCATGAGCCACAGAGCCTGGCTTTGATTCCATCCTGAAAAGCTTGGCTTGCCAACCCTGGTGCCCTCTACAACTATCACCAGTGTCTACATGTGGAAGTATTGGCAAGAAATGGGAAGTCTAGATGGTTCTCTGTTTCTGACCAGTAGCGCAGAATGCTGTTGTTTGTTGTTGTTTTGTTTTTTGTTTTTGTCAGTGGTATGGCTTTAACTCAGGGCTTAGACACTGTCCCTGAATTGTTTTTCTCAAGGTGAGCACTCTATCACTTTTAGCCACAGCTCCACTTCCAGTTTTCTGGTGGTTCACTGGAGATTAGAGTCTCACTGCCCAAGCGGGTTTTGAACCACAATTATCCGATCTCAGCCTCTTGAGTAGCTAGATAATAAGCATGAGCTACCAGTGCTCGGCTTCAGAGTGGTAGGATAGCAGGCATGCCATCTACCATGCTCTGGAACATTCCACAATCTCACCTGTCCACTCTACACTCCTAGGTTTATTTTCATAAGACTGTGGGTACAATGTGTACCTTTCTTGCAAAATGATATGTACTGAGGAATTTCAGGTCTGGACATGGCACGAAAGTTGTCTTCCTTGTCTCTGAACAATTCTCTGAGGTCGTTAGTATTAGCTATATTTTACAGATGAAAAAACTGAATGTATGCGAGGAAAAGCAACTGCCAAGTAGTAGAGCCAGGGGCTGGAAATGTGGCTTAGTGGTAGAGTGCTTGCCTAACATGCATGAAGCCCTGGGTTCAATTCCTCAGTACCACATGCACAGAAAAGGCCAGAAGTTGCACTGTGGCTCAAGTGGTAGAGTGCTAGCCTTGAGCAAAAGAAGCTCAGGGACAGCACCTAGGTCCTGAGTTCAAGCCTCAGGACTGGCAAAAAATAAATAAAAATATATATAGTAGAGCCATTTCTGGCTCTATAATCTGAAAATTTCACAGAAATATTCAGTGGCTGGGCATTAGTGGCTCATGCCTGTAATCCTAGCTAATCAGAAGGCTAAGATTTGAGGGTCAGTGTTTGAAGTCAGCCTGGGCAGGAAAGTCCATGAAACTCTTATCTCCAATTAACTGTGGAGCTGTGGCTCAAGAGGTAGAGGGTTAGCCTGGACTGAAAAAAGCTGAGGAACAGCTCACGGGCCCCAAGTTCAAGCCACATTACAGGCACAAAGAAAGAAAGAAAAGGAAGGAAGGAAAGAAGGAACAAAGGAAGGAAAAGAAGAAAGGGAAGAGAAAGGAAAGAAAAAGAAAACAAAGGAGGAACAATGGTTTTTAAATGGCAAAAGCCTTCCCCACGGATGTCACCTTTATAATAACAATTATATATATATATATATATATATATATATACATACATATATATTGTGGGTTGTGGGGCCTGAAATCTGGGCCTGGGCACTGTCCCTCAGCTCTTCAGCTCAAGGTTAGTGCCCTACCACTTGAGGCACAATGCCACTTCCAGCTTTTTTTTTCCCTTGCTTATGTGGAATCGAACCCAGGGCCTCATGCATGTGAGGCAAGCACTCTACCACTGAGCCACCTTCCCAGCCCCTAAAAAATTATTTTTTAAATTTAAATTAAAAAACCTTCCCCACTAAAATGTTGAACAGAATAAGATTAGTTCCTACTAACTTTTGGACTTTATACACATGGTTAATGAGCACATCGGTCTCATTAACATTCACAGAAATCTAAAACTTTGGAGCAAATATGTTATTTTTTGGCCAGGCACCAATGACTTATGCCTGTAATCCTTGCTATCAAGAGACTGAGAAGGATTGGGCATGTGGCAGAGAAGGGGGAGAGGAGGAGGGGGGGAGAGAGGGAGAGAGGGGGAGAGAGAGAGAGAGAGAGAGCTCAGCATCTCAGCCTGAGCAAAAGTCTGAAACTCTTCAATTAATTTCAATTATCTTCAATTAACCAGCAAAAAGCCAGACATAAACCAGGCACTGGTGGCTTACACCTGTAATCCTAGCTATTCAGGAGGCTGAGATCTGAGGATCACAGTTCAAAGCCAGCCTGGGCAGGAAAGTCCTTGAGACTCTCATCTCCAATCAACCACCAAAAAGCTGGAAGTAGAGCTGAGGCTTAACCAGCAAAAAGCTGGAGCTGGAGGTCTACCTTACTTGATAGAGCCAGAGTGAAAACAGCCAAGAGAGAGCTCAAGGCCCTGAGTTCAAGTGCCAGACCCACACTGCAAAAAAGGATTTGGACTCAGATGTTGGATTCTGACACTCAAAACATTCTTCCGCAATGCTCAGGAGGAGAGCTGTGGGAGGAAGCAGCTCAGGTGTTTGTCTGCTGATGCCCTTTGCCTGCTGGCTGGGTCATGCCACTGCTGGTGGTCCTGCAAGGGCCCCCGTTGAGTGTGGATGGAAGGAGGGCAAGGCCACCCCGTCTGTCCTCAGCCTAGAGTGGCCTTGCCCACCCACCTGCAGCACTGTCTTGTGGTCATGGTGGGAGGATCCAGCAGGTGGGTGTGGCTGGGCGGGATCAGCTGGGAGCCGGGGCAGCTGACGCTCAGCCACCGCAGAGGCTCAGGGAAGAATGCATGCAGATTCCGCCCACCTGCCGTCCTGGCCCTGCCGGCCTAGATAGACAGAGACACACACACAAACACACAGAAAGGCTCTTAAGTGTTGGGAGAGGAAGAGCTATTAGCAGTTGGAGAACACAATTGACACTCAGGTGAGAAAGGAAAAAAGAATTTCCATCAAAATATCTCAAGAGGTTGCCTTTTTATTTTTTGGTCTTTTTTTGGTGCCAGTCCTGAGCCTGAAACTCAGAGCCTAGGTGTTGTCCTTTAGCTTTTTTCACTCAAGGCTGGTGCTCTACCACTTGAGCCACACCTCCACTTCCAACTTTTTGCTGGTTCAGTGGGGATCAGAGTCTCATAGGCTTTCCTGCCCAGGCTGGCTTTCAACCACAATCCTCAGATCTCAGCCTCCTGAGTAGCCAGGATTGCAGGTGGGCTGAACTCCCAGGGAGAGAGAGGAGTCCCAGGTGAGGACAACAAGGGTCTTTGATGTTTTTTTCCTGAGGCTCTCCGCCCACCTAGCCTTCCTCTGGGTGGGGCCACAGTTTATCTGCTCTGCAGCCCTCCTTCCCGTCCGCCCTTCTTGTGGTCTGGGCGCGGGGCAGAGGCTGCTGACCACGCTGGCCGGCAGGGAGGCCGGAGGCTGGCAGGGAGGCCAGCGCACTGGGTTGACTGGGAAGTTTGTCAGAGTTTCTAGCTGCTCAGGTCTCAGCCAGCTGACAGGAAACAGGCCAGAGGTCACATGAACTGAGACCACACACCCCTGTTAAATACATCAGCTTTTAAATCAATCTTTGTTCAAAGTCCAGTGAGTTCCAAGACCTGTGCTGTCCACAGAGAATTCCTCAGTGACAGGAGCAATTCCTTCTATCCCAGGTAAGAAGGCCTCGGCTCAGCCCTGACCTACCTGTTTTCTGTCGTTCCCTTTGCCTTCTTCTTTGGTACATAGTGGGCAGCCTCGGGCCGAAGAGAAGCCCGTGGGGGAAGGCCAGACCCTTTGAGGGGGGTGGTAGATTGGGGTGAGGGGTAAACTGAGAGATTGTCCTCCCTCTACAACTTTTTTGTTTGGCTTTGCTTGGCTTGAACTTGGGGCCTGATCCCTTGTCCTTTAGCTTCTCCATTCAAGGCTGGTGCTCTACCACTTGAGCTTCACTTTTCGCTTTTCTTGCTGATTAATGGAAGATAGGAGTCTTACAGACCTTTTTCCTGCCCTGGCTAGCTTTGAACCAGGATTTTTCAGAGCTCAGCTTCCTGTGGTGTAGCTAGGGTGACTGGCGTGAGCCACCTTCGCCTCAGATCTTTGTAATTGGATTTCTAGCCAAGGGCTCCTCCGTTGTAAATACTTATGTCAGAATTGATCCTGCTGTGAAGATACGGGTTGGTTATACAAGAGGAATGTGTTTCTCTCCATTTACTAAGATTTCCACAACGGGGTGTCAAAGCTCTCAGTCCTGTATTAAGAAGTCCCAGGGCCCTGCCTGCTTCTGACCCTAGTTATCTGGTCACATAAAACCTATATTCAAGCTGGGCACCAGCAGCTCACGCCTGTAATCCTAGCTACTCAGGAGGCTGAGATCTGAGGATCACGGTTCAAAGCCAGCCCGGGCAGGAAAGTGTGTGAGTCTCTTATCTCCAATAAACCACCAGAAAACTGGCTCAAGCGGTACAGTGCTCACCTTGAAGAGCTGAAGAGCGCAGGGACAGCGCCCAAGCCCAGAGTTCAAGCCCCACGATGGACAAAAACAAAACAAAACAAAAAAACCCACCTATATTCATCGGCTGGGAAGATGGCTTAGTGGTAGAGTGCTTGCCTAGCATGCATGGAGCTCTGGGTTCAATTCCTCAGGACCATATAAACAAGTGGCTCAAGTGGTAGAGTGCTAACCTTGAGCAAAAGAAGCTCAGGGTCAGTGCCCAGGCCTTAACTTCAAGCCCCAGGACTGGCAAAAACAAAAAAAAAAAAACCTATATTCATTGTTTCCTGCACCCATAGTTCAGGGACTTTGAGTTTGCAGGTTTGCATATTATAACTAAATCAATGACTTAAGATCTTCGACTCTTCTGCAGGGTCTCTGTACCATTCAATAGGAAGCTGTCAATAATGACATCTAGAGCGCTGGCTAGGCAGCTGCTTCTCATCTGGTGGGAAGACAACCAGACCAAGTTTATGGTTCAGTTGTTTGTGCCAAGCCATTAAAGTTACTTAGCCACCTGGAGCCTCCAGGTTATCATTGTTAAATGAAGGCCTGCCGCTGTTCCCCAGGGTTGTTTGGAAAATCAAATCGTAAATCCTTTTTCTTCATGCTGTCACTGGGACTTGAACTCAGGGCCTGGATGCTTTCCCTTAGCTGTCTCCACTCAAGGCTGGCACTCTACCACTTAAGCCACAGCTCCACTTCAGGCTTTTTGGTGGTTAATTAGAGCTAGGAGCCTTGTGGACTTTTCTTCCTGGGCTGGCTTTGAACCACAATCCTCAGATCTCAGCCTCCTGAGTTGCTTGGATTACAGGCCTAAGCTGCTGTGCCCTGCTCACCCTGGTTATTTTGATGCCACTGCTCAGGAGAGGAGGCTGAAGAATCTGCTGCCGCTGTCAGGTCAGGTCTCAGGTGTGATTGAGTTGAAATGATTCCCATGTTTGCAGCGTGGGACACTGGGTAAGAGTAGCAGCTGGACTTGAACATGCTTTGCCCCAAGCAACTCCTTCCCTTGGATTCCATGAGGGACCCTCCCCCCCACACACACTTTCTTAAGCTGTTTGGTGGGTTTATCAGAGACCAGTGGGTGGGCGCATGGGCACTGGAGTGGGAAGTGTGTCCAGTTGAATCTTCCTCCCTTAGCAAAGGAGCTGATGGTCCTGGCTGCTTGCATTGTGAGGGTATAGTCTCAGGGCGTGGCAATGGGCTGGGCCTAGTGCATGGACTGTTGGTGGTGGCCAGAGCTGGACCAGGGGACGGCCTCCTCTCCTGCTTACTTGATGGCAGATGGAGATCCATCCTGGGCTCCAGCAGCTTCTGAAGCTTCAAACCTGGGAACACAAACTCATGCTGGGGCCCAGAGCTCACGCCTGTCATTCTAGCTATTCAGGAGGCTAAGATCTGAGGGTTTGGGTTTGAAGCCAGTCGCCATGGGAAAGTCCATGAGACTCTTGCACACACGCACACACACAGATCAGGTTAGGCTGTGAATTTAGGCTTGTGTATTACACAGAGAGGAATGTTAGGGTTCACGTCAAATGTCCCTATTCCTTACGAGCAGACACCACAGCTCCCCTCGGTCCTCACCTGCCTCGAAGGAGCTATTCAATACATCCGTGGGAGCCCCAGGGTTTAGGGGATCGTTTATTTTTCTATGGTTCCACCCAGATGTTTGTGGGCTTTTTGGTTTTTGTTTGTTTTTGCACCACAAGTGAGACTTGAACTCATGGCGTGCTTGGATAATCTTGCTTCAAGGCTGGCGCTCTACCACTGGAGCGCCAACTTCACTTTTGATCTTTTACTGGTTAATTGGAGATGAGTTTCCCAGAATTTTCTGCTTGGAGTGGCTCTAAACCTTGATCCTCTGCTCTCGACCTCCTATGCAGGCAAGACCACAGGTGTGAGCTACTAGTGCATATCATCAGATCATCTCTTTTGTTGTTGTTTTTTTTTTGTCGGTTGTGGGGCCTGTACTCTGGGCCTGAGCACTGACAGCTCTACCACTTGAGCCAGAGCACCACTTCCAGCTTTTTCTGCTTATGTAGCGCTGAGGAATCGAACCCAGGGCCTCATGCATGCAAAGCAAGCACTCTACCACTGAGCCACTTTCCCAGCCCAGAGCTTCATCTCTTTTTGCCATACTCATGTACTCTGGTTGTTCTGAGCCATCTCATTTCCTGAGACCTCCTGTTTCTTCTACCTGGGGTTGTCTTCTTCTCCCCCTTCTATGTGTCCCCATAACACCCTGTTCCCAGTGCCTGGGAAGTTGGAACCCCCTACCTTTGAATCCAGGATGGATTTATGCCAACAACTAGGTAAAACCAGCTTAACTTTTCAGTCCTTTTTTTTCCCCCATAGTTAAATGGCCTATTCAGATGATTTCAGAACTCATCACAAGTTTGCAGGTTGGTTCCTAGAGCCTAGTAAAAGCTCCATGACTGTGGATCAGAATAAAGCATTCTAAATGTTTCAGTATCATTCTCTGCCATTGTTTAGTAGTTACATTTTTAACCCTTCCCCCTGGACTTTGAGCTCCTAGGAGACAGGACTGCATCTAAAGTGGGCTCAACCCTGATGGCTGTTCTATCTGCAAGCATCAAATAGATCTTATCTGCCTGAGACTTGAGGATCCACAGTTCAAAGCCAGACTGGGTAGAAATGTCCATGAAGTCTTATCTCCCATTAACCAACAGAAAGCCAGTAGTGCAGCTATGGCTCAAGCTATGCCTCAGCCTTGAGTGGAAAAGCCAAAGGAGTTCAAGCCCCAGTACTAGCACAAAGTAAATGAACTATCCCTTGTTGAACAGATAAATGATGTTTAAGACTCAAAAGATGAGTGATCTGGCCTGGGAATGTTGCTCTGTGGTAGGATGCTTGCCTTGCATGCATGAAGCCCTGGATTCGATTCCTCAATACCGCATTCATAGAAAAGGCTGGAAGTAGCGCTGTGGCTCAAGTGGTAGAGCGCTAGCCTTGAGCAAAATTTGAACTGTAGCTCACAAATGGGAAGATCTTGGATTTATTCTCTGGGGGAAAATGTTTACTTAGTAACTACCATGAGTAAGAACCCACAGTGGAAAGTTCCAGGCACAGTTTGTGGCCAGAGCAAAAGGCAGCCCTGGAGCTATGATGTAAGCAGTAGAGGAGCCTGGTGGACTGGCTGAGCCTCAGGGCCTTAGCAAGGAGTCCAGACATTTTGGGGGGGGGGGGGACGGGGCAGAAGGGGTACTGATACTTTAACTTTATTTGCTCAAGCCTTGAGCTCTACCATTTGAGCTACACCTCCACTGATAGAGCTTTGCTGTTTAATTAGAGATAAGAGTCTCCTGAACTTTCCTGCCTGGCCTGGCTTTGAACTGGGATCCTCAGATCCCTTTGAACTGTTATCCTCAGCTGGATAACAGGCATGAGCCACCAGCACCTGGCTTGGAGTCTGGATTTTGATTTCTTGAATGATGTTTTCAAGGCTGACAATGGAGAAAACAAGATTGGGAAGTTTGGTGGGAGGCAGGAGGCAGTGGGGCAGGAGGACTTGGGGAACAAGCCGGACGTATGGAAACAATGAGGGGCGATCCAGTGCAAAAGGCCATATAAAAGATGCTGATTTGGAATGGGCTGGTGGCTCACACATGTAATCCTAGCTAATCAGGAGGCTAAGATCTGAGGATGGCCGCTCAAAGCCAGCCCACACAGACAAATTTGAAAGTCTATCTCCACTTAACCAGAAAAAAAAAAGAAATCCAGAAGTGGACCTGTAGCTCAAGTGGTAGAGCAGCAGCCTTGTGTGGAAAATTCAAGTAGCCAAAGCCCTGAGTTCAAGCCCCAGTATTGGCCCCCCCCAAAATAGAAGGTGCTCAGTTGGGGGTACCTCTCTCAGCCTGCCATGGGGCGGGGTGTATAGTTGCCTCCGTTACTCCTTCCATCATCAGCTCAGCTTCCGCACTCCATTCCTTCTCCCTCCTAAAACTGTTAGCTAAGCAACTAGTGTGTGAACTTTAGACTAGAGTCCTGCCATATAGTACAAAGTATTGTTTACGGTGGCCAGGGTAGGAGGGGTAAATGGACTTACTTTGTGATAAGCAGATTCTATTCTTTATCATTCAAGAGACATAAAAATTACTCACGGGGCCTCTGATCACTCATTTCTAGATAATTCTCAATACATTGATTCATTTATTTCCC